AAGTTCATTAATTTTTTGATCATAGATATTATAATCCATAATGACGGTCGCATTACCTTTATCAGCAGGCAAAATGTTGATTGTTTTATCTTTTTATAAGGACATTAATGCTTTTTGATCTATTGAGCTTATGTTTTGTTTAATTTTGAAAGGTTTTTCAAAATAGATATTCTATTAACTTCTTCGTCATTAATTCTCGTATGATTCAGCGATAATTTATCTGCGTTGTGGTTTGCGCAAACTTCGTTGAGCTTTCAAATAGCGTGTTAACAGCAACGTTTTTCACTTGGAAGTGGAAAAATGCCGTTTGAGCGCTTTGATACTCAGCGTCCAAAATGTGCTTTGACCTGTTTGCCTGTTGCTCAGCACGAATTCCTACACTTCCCGATAACAAAGTTCTGTCATCGTCAAATAGTTGTAATAGTAAAATTCCAGAAATACCTTACCTGGCTGAATAATATTCGAAGAACGCCACTAGTATTTCGAGAGATCTTGAAAACGCTTGCCACATTGTTCATCATGGTTTGGGTCCAATCGCCCTAAACCTAGCACTTACAAGGGGTGCTTGTCACTTTTCTAACAGCGATGATTCCAGCTTATTAGGACACTGCTAACACTCAAACTATACATATTGCTTGCTTAGAACTATTTAACTGGATCGACATTGATTGTCTGCGGGTTATCGATTGTCACTAACAGCAGGAATTGACTTCGTTACTGGGAAAATTTTGATGTTATATAATTTATAAATGTCTTCCCTACAAGTCACCTTTTAACTATTCATAAGCAATTTCTCTGGTGGGTGTAGCGTAGTACTTAGGTTCTCCATATTTATTAGCATATGAATGAACGTGTCTTAGCACAATGTAGTAAAGGGCTTGAATTGTTAAAAGGCAAATTATTAACCCCTCAATTACCTGGTTATACGGGTGCAATGCTTTATACCTAATATGTTTACTTGCCACATTTTTCAGTGCGTTGAAAATTATATTTTAATTGCATTAATACATAAAAGATCATGAGAAATTAGTTTCTAAACGATGATAATATATGAAAAAATGTGGTAAATCATCATAAATGATAAGCCAAAAACAAAAAAAATATTGTATGTGTAGTAATAGTGTTCCCGAGTCGGTTTTAAGTAAAATTAAATACTTTGTCACAGCAACCCTTTTGTTAACTTAAAACCGCCCGTACTTCCGAGAAGTAGGTTTGATAACTTTCATTCTCTACTAAAAGTCACAACTATTGCCATCTCTTCCACGTTTGTTAGAATTATTTGACCACTTATGACGCTTATAGTACAAAATTAAGAATTAAGAGGCATTCTGTTAATTTATAACTGTCTGAAAAGATTAGGAGTATTTCAAAATAAACGACAGCACCACACAATTATTATTTCGTCATCTGTGGTCACGTAAAAATTGAGATTTAGGAAGTTACTAAGTCAAAAACTCATCACCTTGCTGCTTCGCCACTTTCCAGACGGTTTTGAAATCGTTCCGTTTGCAACGTATTTACTAAACATTTTGTAAAAAATTTATACACTGACTTGATAAAAAAATATAATATAATACATTTTTCTATACGTACTGATCTAAATTGGCAGTCCACTATTTATCAGCTACACTTTTGTTTCTGCAGATATCAAATTATTTAAACTAGCAAACCAGAGGTAATTTTGCGCTTACAAAAGACATGGCAAAGTTGATCGCAGATGATAATAGTAGTCAAAACACGTCCTGACTTAAAAGTTAGCTTCATGTTTTAAGTAAATTACAATTGCCAATCCTTATAAATTTAGGCTCATAGTCCAGCTTCTTGCTCCAAAAGGTTAAAATATTTTTTTTATGTCGACAGAGAAAATACAATGTTCAAATCTACTTTACCGTACCTTAATTTATTTTTGTGTGCGCTTGAAAATTGCTTTAAATATCATTCATATTGCTACATTTTTTAATGGCTGTTATGGTCACTAAATATTTGTAACGATAATTGCTTCTTAAGTATTACACTTTTTAGTTGATAAATATCTTTGTAGTTGCTGGCAGATGCTCAGCCCGGAGAGAATCGTCTAACATTACTTATGGAGCTAGATCGTCTAAAGCTTTGTTCAGAACTTGTGTCAAAAAAGTTAAATACACCTGACACGTTAAACATCCTTATATAATTACACGTTAAAGCTTAAGATTTGTTGATAAAAATCAACAAAACTTGATTAGGCCTCAACGAATATTAAAATCGAAAGAAGAAGCTGCTTTTCCTTGATCAGGAGACTGCCCTATAACTTAAAAAACTTACCAAAGGTTAAAAGGTTTCGGCAGCGCATTAAGTAATCAATGGCAATAAGCAGTATTCTTATAGAAAGTACTTAAACTGAAAAATCGTCTTGATCAGCATAACCAATACTTAAGTATTCTTATAATTTTACCTTTTTAATTTATTCCAAATTAACAAAAAGGAAATCAGGAAAGGAATAAAAAAGCGAGAACATAATTCATAGCAAACGTTTCAATTAAATCTAGACTCCATTCAAAGTTGCCAAATGCAGGTGCATTTGCATTCTTTATCTTTGTGATCAAAGAGAGGAAAGAGTCAATAAGAATAACGGAAGCAGATGTGCCCTCCAGATCAGCTCGCAATTACGCTAATGGCAGTGATAACTCGTAGATACGAGTATACCAGAAAACGTATGATGTCGTTTTTGTAGACGTCTTTTACCTTCAACTGGCTAATTGAGTTGGTAAATAGAGTTTTTTCTACTTTGGCTTTTCGTCTGTTTCCGAGTAAAGCTTATAATTTGCAACTTAATATATAAATATGCGCTACGGATTATTATGGTTTCACCACCTTATCCAATAGTTACACAATGACTTAATTTCCGCATAGATTAGTATAGGTTTACTCATTATCGTTATTAACCAAAGCAATGTCGTGTTTGTCTCAATACAAAATGTCCAATTAGGTACTTTAAGTCTAAGATTTTACTTGAAAATTTATAGAGGAATGTTTTGATTCCTCCTTTCGGATAAAACATAAATTGTATTGTTTAATTATGGAGCTACAAGAAACTGGAAAACTAAAACTTTTAAACCAATGCATTACTAAGCGAACATAACATAGGTACAATTTTGTCATTACTGCCTTCTTTAAAAGTAATTTATACCATTAGCATTAAATTTTTAATTAAAGAAATAATTAAGTTTTTTGATCTAAATTCATTATAACCGCATTAACTATAACCTTTCTCCTTGATTCTCAAGATTAAATCATAGAATAAGCTAACTATAGCATTAATTAGGAGCCCTAGATGTAAGAACCACTCTAATGCCACTGTTTCTACAGTTTTCATAACTTCTTCTCTAGCTCTTCAAACTACTGAATTTATATTATTAGGTGACAATGTTCCTAAAAAATTAGAATGGGATACCAACGGAATTGATATAGATGGTATCAGGCTTAGCCACCTCAGGTTTGCAGATGATATAGCCCCAATAACTGACAACATCGCGGTACTACAAAAGATGTTAAATAAATTAAATCTAGCATCGATGAATGTCCAACTGAATTTTAATCACAACAATACAAAAATAATGAGCTCCGAAGACACAACCATACGAGTATATGCCCAAAATAATAAGTTGAAATGCGTAACTGAATACATCGTAAATTTGACAATACGTTTGCAAATAATCTTTTAACAACACGAAGAGCAATAGAAAGGTGCATGTTAGGCATATCACCTCGTGACAACGATAGGAATGAAAATATTAGACCACAAACTAAAGTTGCCGATATAATACAAATACAAACCCAAACCCATAGAGAAGCGTCCATAACTTATTTGGTTAGGTGTGTCCGTGCTTTGATTAATAAGGCGAGGCACTAGTACTGAATTCAACTGTTGAGATTAAAAGACCGAAGACTCAAAAATTAATTTCACAATATTTTCATTCCATTAGTCAAATCAGAATAAATTTCCCCTTTTTATGATAAACTATTGCTTTACATTAAGCGAGTAACAGCTAATAACTCACATTACAAATAGAAGCAGATAATTTTATTATTAGTAAGACATTTCAGAAAAAATATTGAATTTGAAATTAATGTAGAACAGTATAGGTATATTGGGCTGAATTGAAAATTCTCCATTTCAAGAAATGATTTGATTCTGAACGGGAGCGAAGCTTATTGCATTGCATGGCGCTATTGCTCTAGAGCTGCGTTCATTTTAGTAACTACCGTTTCGCGTTTAAAACTTTTATTAATTTGGCGGTAGGAGAAAAAAATAAGCGGTTGGAAACAGTTTAAGTTGGGTATGAGTTTTGAAGTCAGAGTAAGGGGTAGATATATTATTTTGAATCAGAAGTACTTAGATATCATGTCTACTTCTACTTTCCACAGTACGTATGTGCCATTATCATTTCTGTGTCTTATTGACTATCTAAGGGTTACATTGTTCATGTTCAGTCTCAGGGCCTTATACTTATACTCGAATATAAACGCGCTTTTCGCATCATTCAAGTTGTTTCTTTGGTCTTATTTCTCGAGCCGGGAATGTTTCATCTACTGCTATTCTTCTGTCATTAAGCGTTTCTGATTAATGTATGATTTACCGCTTGAAAGGTTTAACTATTTTCTCGGCGGATTAGTAATTGAGTTTTAAATTTCTGGGCTTTAAAATCATTTTTTACACGAATATTGCTGCAAGTTTCTGGGTCATCATAGCGATACATCACCCGATACATTTTTATCTGTTGTTGCTTGCTTAATATGATCTTTAGTTTGTTTGGTTCTTTCTCTTTAGTGCTTTGGTTCTCCTAGACCCAATTTGGCCAGATGAAATGCTACAAAACACATCGTTTTTGTATCGACTTTTCGCACTCGGATGCTACTCAGATTACAGCTCCATGATACTCGATGCCGAAACCCTTGATTTCCATATGGAAATAGTCTTTTCCATGTGGAGCGGGGCAACGTCAACATTGAAGTCTGATCAACTTGCTGCATTATACAATAAAGTAAATAGGAAAACTGCTAGTGATCGCTACCGGAATCAGTCTTAAATGGGGTAATATAATGGAAAGACTATTTATTTATGCTGTTTGTGCAAAGGAAAACTCAAGACGCTTTCCTCTCGACTTGTTGGGGCTTGTTTTGTCTTTACAATCAAAAATAGGAAAACTAACTATTTTTCGATATACGGTTTTCCGTCGTTGGAAGTTTGGTAGAAAACGAAATATTATGGACAAAAATACAAAAATAACCAAAGATATTGTCATGTTTTAATCATAATAAAAGTAAAAACAGCTACTTTAAAATCTAATTGAGCCTCTCTTGCAATAAAATAAATTTTCGATTTGTCGACACACATAAAACTACAAGCATTTCGTACGGAAAGTCGATGTTTTGGTAATTTAATTTGGTTGGATGTCGGTGTACCCAGTGTGGATTTGCTTAGAAGCACTAACGGGAGGTACACAAGTCATGGAGAGCTTTCGTTTCGAGTAATTCAATTCTTTTGAAGTATATCGGCAATTATTTATTTAAGATTGGTGGTTAATTTTTAAGGAACTTCGAAAAGGAAATGCTAGAGAGGCTGTTACCTGTGCTTATGTAATAGCTGAATTATTGCGCGTGTCTACAAGTCCAAATAAATTTACAAAATATTACCTATGGAGACACTTTACGAACATATGTATAATGTCGCAGCGAAA